CAAGCTGAAGGATGTAATAATGTACCCCAATCCGCCTTGTCGTGGGGCTGGCTGGATCATTCCGTTCTTGCTCTAGCTCCTACAATCATCATAGACTTTTGCCACCTTTCCGTCCAGCTTCGATTATAAGTAGCGTCACCACTGGACCGTCGGCAGTCTATACGTTGCAATCACACGACTTCGCAAGCGAGTCCCAAGCGGCTCAGAACCCCAGAACCAGGAACTTGGCCAGGCATGATCACGGTCCTGTCAGTTTTTTTCGCGGCCACCTCCCAACCAGTGTCCTCCGCTCCCCTTGAAAATCTGCGTCGACTGGGCACCAAATTACGAGTATGGAGAGCTTGAACTTTGTAAGTGGTTGAGGCCCCACTGCCTAGGTCCGATACTGATCATTTGAAAGATCATCGTAGGAGCTTCCATAGCAGGTAACTTGGACCTCTTCAAATCTACGCCTGCTGAACGGCTACATATAGGCTTAAGTTCAGCTATTACCCTGAGAGCATCTGGCCACAACGTGCTTGTTTTAGAGAAGGAATCGCAACTGGGTGGGACTCGTTCGGTAAGTCCGATACCTATTTACAGCCTTGACCCTACTTTAACCTTGAGGCAGATGAAAAGTGGATGTGCTCGGTAGGGAGACATGGCACATCATACATTATTGTTCTTAATCTCCGCTTTCAGTGTACCACCAAATGGCTGCAAAATTCTTGTCGATTGGGGCTTAGAAGCGGAGATTAGAGCCAAGGGTGCAGATGCGACAGGTTTCCATGTCTACAAATGTCGGACCTCCTCCTCCTTCGCAATCTCATTGACTGAAAGGCGAGACCAGATAATACGCCAGAAGACAGCTTTCTCGGTACCAATCGCTGGGATCCCGAGATGCTGGAAGATGCTCGAGGACATTTCGTCCAAATTCTGGTCAGTGATCGAATATCCTTCGCTCCGAGATTCCCCAATATCATTTAGTACGAAGACCTCCTCGATATACTTTACGACGCAGCCATAGACCTCCCAGGACGCATGGAAAGTCAGATAAAAGTTACCCCAAACGGGGCGGATGCCTCTCCCAAGGTCGTGGTGCAGCTTGGGGCGGAGGTTGTTGAAGTAGATTGCGATGTCTGTTCGGTGACCTTGAAATCCGGTGAAATACACACAGCGGATGCTATTATCGGCGCGGATGGTGCGCACGGTGTGGTTCGACGAAAATTACTAGAGGATGAGGGTGTAGAGTCCGCCCAAGGTGTCCCGACGGGCCTTTCACTGTACAGGTACGTTTGCGTTCTGCGTATTGCCGAGCTTCCCTGAACAAAATTTGTGTCGCGTCAGTGCAACTATTCCGAAGGCACTCGCAGCCAAGGAAGGCCTCGATATCTTCTGCGACTCGGTGCGTTGTATGAAGATCGCCTTGATTCCATGGGTTTACTTTTGCTTGTGCAGAATACCGTATGGATGGGGTCAAATCGGAGTGAGCGTTGATCTCCTTCGAGTATTATTGTCGCCTTACAAGTACCTGCTCAGGCATACTGACGTTTTATACGGTAAGCAGCATATTTGCTGCCATGAAGTACCCACCCTGAGCTAAATTCAGGGGAACGAAAACGATATAGCTATTATAGTATACACCCCCGATGGCCCGCAAAATGGATGCTGGAGCCAAGAGGCGAATCTAAAGCTTCCGGATATAATTGGCCCGTGCGATATCCAGTGAGAGTTAACGGACCAGCCTTTGATCATTTGCCGTGCTCATTTTTCATAGACTCCAAAAACTGGCGGCACTAACTGGATCGGCAAGATGTATCCAGATTCAAGAGTATCCCCAGCTGGAATCGTGGGTCTCTGAAAGCGGCAGGGTTCTCGTCCTCGGCGAAGCAGCTCACCCGTTTCCGGCGCGTATTGAATGTGCGGCGCTGCCCCACGACCCTGACTTGGTTTTGACAGCCCGCCGCCCTCCATACTTGTTCCATTGCCCTTGAAGACGGTGCCTTCATAGGAAAAATATTCTCACATACGCGTGATCGCGAACGTGTCCCCGAGTTCCTGAATGCCTTCGCAGAACACCGGCGCGTCTCCATCTCTCAGGATTTGCTGCGCAAAAGTCTAACTACGGATCAACAGGGGACCACGCTGCTCGCGCACCGTGGATATGGAGAAACAGATCATCGGCGCTCTCACGCTTCCTGATGGTGAGTTCCAGGCTATGCGTGATGCGGGCATGCGGGCATGCCAGGCTGCTGGCCGGAATGTCATGGATGCCGGAGCTGGCGATATGCAGGACATCCACGACGACATGCGCACGGTGTACGTCTTTTCCCGGTTCTTCGACCCAAGACCGCTCACTCCTCACATGTAGATTCGGCTACGAACCGGAGGACGACGCGGACGAATGGTGGATGACCTGGGGTCGATATCGGGACTCGACCGAGCAAGCAGTGAGTCAGCGGAACACTTATATCAGCTGGACGGCAATCTCAAGTCAAACAAGCTACGATCTCGACGAAGATGATTCGGAGTAGCCGGTGTTAGATAATCTGTCTCTTAAATTAAATAGATGTTGCGTCAGTCGCGAGACTGACGGGAGGTACGAGGAATGCAGTCAGGCCGCTTGTCCTCTTTCCTCTTTCCAGTGCTCCCCGAGTGCTCCCCACTTGAACTCCTTCGGCACCTGTTTCGCCAAATTCAACTACGCCATCATGCACTTACGTTTATTTCGTCTACCATCTGCTGAGATGACATGAATATGGGCATTGCTTTGAACGTCGAGAGAGGGTTGTTGAAACCTGGTATAACCCTGAGGGTGAAGATTATAATATATTCATCCCACAGGTCAACATTCGAGGTACGAGCTTCATTCGTTAGAAGCGTCTGTATAGGAGAGACTAGACTAAACTCGGACCGCCATAGCTAGCACATCTTCGAAGATCGTTCCAGACGCGCTACGCCTCAGCTCACCAGGCTGTAGTGCATGCAAATACATTCAAAACCTTCAAGAACACGGATGCGAGACAACCACCACAGAAATTCTCCTGCCTCGACTTGAGAGCTCCTCGCGGTCCGCGCTCCGCGCCAAGATTAATATTTTGCGGGAACTCCTTTGGGATTCATGTACATTCGAAGCAAATATTGGAATTTTAATCCACTTTACATCTCTTTACTACTCGACCCAGCCCCATATTTGTGCATGAAATCGATTGGACTGAACCTCGAAGCATTGACACAGCAACTTTTAGCTTGCAACTTTACTGCGTCGGCGTTGACGTTCAAGGCAGTTTCTGTGTTGAAACATTGGTGGGGTGTCTCGGCTGGTCTGCATTATAATTCCAAAAAGAAAGAGGGCACAGAACCTAGGCCTCTGCGCCCATTTGTATGTCCTGCTTTGGCTCGGTCAAAGCGCGCTTTCGTGATCACGTGACCGCTACCATCTGAAATAACGTCGGATAGGGGTAGTCAGGTTTTTCCTGCTTCCTCTTTGGGAGGACCGAAATGTTTCCAAAGCGCCTCACAGAGCCATTTCTTGCCCACCTCAGGCTCGGCGAATCGTCGGCCAAAGACTTCAAGTCCTTTGAAGCATACACTTGCACTCCTTGACTCGGACAACCGGTAAGAAGTTTCCCATATAAATTCCATCGCTTCCCTGTCTCTTATAATATATCCATTAACTGCAGAACAGCCCCACACTCGAGAAGGCTCTGATTCTGAAAAGTCAGCCGACAGTGTTCCATCCTCGGTTAGTAACATTTTATATACTCTCATATATTCCATGCCGTTATTGTGTCGAACAGAATATAAGAGTCGCGCAACACTGGCCCAAGAACTTGCCGCAGTCCGCGCGCAACTCGACGCGGCCAACATCAAAATTATGCACCTCACCCGAGTGGTTGAACGCATTATAAGCCAGTTTGGGGCATTCATGGACTCGGCTGGGAAAGATCTCTCTGTGCTGTGATTGTGTCCACGGCTTGAATGTTGTACTGGTATGATCTACAGATGTAATCTATTGGCAGTTTCTGTCAAGGGGGCCGAATAAGCGAAAATATGATATCATCTACCTCGTTTTTTCGCAGTGTCAAATCGAAAGAAGCCGGATCAACGCCGACGCAGCAACGTGTGAGCTTCAGCTCAAGCTAAATTTTTAAATTGCTGCGGACCCATTCTCCATATATATCCCGGGCGGCTGGCCAGCAATCAACTAGTAGATTGATTATAATTAATGATACGATGAGCCACCCGAACTTTCGCGTCTCAGGATGCTCAGGCAAGAATCAGGAGGATATTCATTCAACAGGCCCCCGTTTCGAAGGGTTCAGGCGGTTCCATGTTGAGGTTTTTTTTTCACTCTCACATCGGGTTCGGTAACTATAAGGCATCGTGTTGAGGCATCGGTGTGTCGAGTTCAAGTTGGGACAAAACGCCGTATAGGGGCACAAGCGCATAAGTGGGGTGTTATCGGCTAATGTAACAAAAGAGAGCCGATAAAAATAACTGAACATGTGCCAAAAACGAAAATAGTCTGGCCTTAATTTGAACAAGGGACTCCCTCGTAGTTATTTTTCACGGTATTAGACCTTATTGGGAGATTTTAACTGAGGCTCTCTAAATTCCCTGATTGGCTGAAATTTGTGGAGCAGCCTAGATTCGTAACCAGCCCTACGTTGAGTAACTAGACAGCGGAGGAGCATGCAAGTTATTTTAAGTTGATCCGATGAAAATTAACAAAGAAAAAAAAATGCATTAAGAGTTCTACGTTCGAGTAACTCTTAATGCATTTTTTTTTCTTTGTTAATTTTCATCGGATCAACTTAAAATAACTTGCATGCTCCTCCGCTGTCTAGTTACTCAACGTAGGGCTGATTACGAGTCTAGGAGCAGCCAATGAGAAGCCGATAAATTTCTCAACTAAAATCTCCCAATAACCTCTATTTGAAGAGAACATTTCCCAACTACCTTACCATGCCAAACTTTGCGTGTTGAAAACAGTAAATAAAACAACAGACAAAAATGAAGAGCCTGACCTTGATTTGAACAAGGGACTTCCTCTTGTCCTTCATGAATATTTTATCTATTGAAGACATGTTCCCAACTACACCACCAGACCTTGCCGCACCAGGCTTTGCATAATTAACATGATCTATGTCGAACAATTGAACAATAAACTTCGAAACGGTAGAAAAACAAATGACCTGACCTTGATTCGAACAAGGGATTTCCTCTGAAGACTTCGCAGATATATGTACACGAAGAGAATACATTTACAACTACACCACTAGACTTTATCATTCTCGCAAAATCCGTGAATTGAATGCGTTCAAGTTGAACAATATGGAATGGATAAAAAATAAACAGCCTGGCCTTGATTCGAACAAAGAACTTCCTCTGAAATTTAGATAATGTGATTCTAACTATACCACCAGGCCTTACAAAAATCTCAGACCTGCCGTCATTGAACAGATGCATTCAAGATCAAAGTTGAAAAAAAAATGCGACAGAACAGATATACAGCCTGGCCTTGAATCGAACAAGGAACTTCCTCTCACAACCTTCGTCAATATCATTTGAAGACATGTTGCCAACTACACCACCGGGCCTTGCTATGGTCATCGCCAAAAAATTCTATGTGCAACCAAATTCAGTCACCGAAGTTCGTCGACAAATTCTCAACGTTCTCAACAACCAATTGACGTACAATTTAAATTCCTCAATCATTGAATTTCCCGCAGCTCACCCCCAATGATGCATCTGCTCGTCCGACAGCCCCATCGCCCGATCCCCCTTGACCCCATACCTCCCAATAACGTCCCCAATCTCCTCCATCTCCTCCGCACTCAGCACCACGTCCCCCGCCTCCAGATTCTCCAGCGTGCGTGTCGCTTTCCTGCACCACGGTACATCCAAGATCATATTTACCCGTCAGCGGAACATCTCGTTGAATATAAATGGGTGTAGCACGCACGACGACCCGGGCATCGGAATGACGTGCGGCCCCAGCGCGGCGACCCACGCGATGCACAGCTGCGCGACACTGATGCCCTTGCGCTTTGCGATCGCCTCCAGCGCGTCCACGATCGCAAGGTTGTGCTTCATGTTTTCCTCCTTGAAGCGGCTGTACTGCGTGCGGAAGTCGCCCTCTATATTCCAAAATATAATCAGCTTCCACGTAGCGAGGGAGAGACCACGTACCCTGCAGATCTGCGGACGACTTGAACCTGCCAGTGAGGAACCCGCGTCCAAGTGGGCTGTTCATCCAGGAGACAAACATTTAAAAAAAATCAATTGAGCCCGCGGTTGGAAAAAACCTATCACGCACGAATACGCGAGGACCGAAATGCCCAGCTCCGCCGCCGTGGCGATGACCGCCTTCTGGTTCTCCTCGTACGAGAAGGGGCTAATCTCGATCTCCACAGCCGTGACGGGGTGGATCTAGGCGCGCTAAGCAATGCATAACGATGAAATAAAAACAAAACACCCACAGCATGCGCCTTCCTGAGCGTCTCCGCCCCGCACTCCGACACCCCCACATGCGCGAACTTGCCCTCCTTGACCAGGCCCGCGAGCGTGCGCATCATGTCCTCCACGGGCACCCGCGAGTCGATGCGCGCGGGCTCGAACAAATCGAACTTCTTGACCGGCCCGAGCGCGCGCTGGATGTTGTCCGCGCTCTTGCGCAGGCTTTCTGCGCTGTAAAAGTGCGCAGTCTGCATAACATATTATCGATGCGAGAAGGATGTTGGACGCACGAGCAGTCCGGGGCGAGGTTCACCAGGGCGCCCTTGACGGAGAGGAACGTCCTGTCTGCGTACTCAGGGTACTTGGCGTAGAACCGCGCCAACCGCTCGAGGCTCAGCGTCCCGAGGTCAGACGCGTAGAATTCACCTGGCGCAATACGCGCGTACGTTATTTAGCCTGGCAGAAGAAATGCACATTATGATTTGATCGTTCGTACCGCTGTTCAAAATCATCTTCACGCCCTTCGGGAGCGCGTCGATCCCGGCCCTGATTGCCTCGAAGCACTGCTCCTCCGGCACGGGCGTCGGGATCCACCTAGATAAAGGTTAAATCGTCAACTGCGCCGGAGCGCACACAACGCGGCACGCACGTCATCATCATCAACCCGTGCTGTATTGAGCAAAATCAACATTTGAACAACGATGAAGGAAAATCGTATAAATGCGTACCGCAATGCGCGCAACAGCGACGTCGGTTCCGCCTAGCTTGGTTGATTTCGCGACCATTTCTTTAGTAGGTTAAAGTTCAATGTTGGGAGGGTTGAAAAACTAGTTCTCAGTCCGAATGAGGGAGCAGCCATCCGTATTTAACCACTCTCTGAGTGGATCTGCCGAAATGTGAGGTGTACGCGTCCACCCGGCCGCCAGCAGGCCAACGCGATAACTGGTGTATAACGTCTTCCGTGTCACACGTTGACATTTTCGGTCTGCAGCGGAAAATTCCTGAACTCTTCCGACTACTGAAGTTGGCTAAACACATGGAGATCCGCGAATTCTGCTACCAAGAGATCAGCAAATTGTACCTCGCAGAGGGTGTACTACGCACCTGTGTGCATATTTCATTACGCAAGTTCCTGGGTCGTCGGTGGCCGCCGTTCATCTTCCCTGCTGCTGCCCTATTTTTCGCGATTCGAACATCCGTGTTGGCCGCATTTTTTCCTTGACGACAACCGCCTTTGCACTTCGTCTTTGCCGACTGAATGACATCGAAGTACCGACGGCGAGTACGTCCCACGATTCACTCATCTGCAAAAGTCACGGTGCCCGTTTCAACGGCATCGCGACGTTAGCTACTTTTTTCGTCGGTTATATGAGGGAGAGTTTCGTGCTTCTGGGAAAGTAAACTGCTGCCTATCCTTCACGATGAGGCTCTTGGTGTGGCGGCCGAACCGTACCCTTTACGACGGAAATACGTTCGTCCAGAACTTCAGGGGTTACGAGACGGGCGTTTCCTGGGGTGTAGCGACCTGGTCCTGAATATTAATATCATCAAATAGATAGAAGTAGCCACGAGGTATTTATGCCCCCGATTGAGACCGAAGGGAACACTGAGAGCCCTGACGGCGAGGGAGAGAAATAGCGCTAACTGTTTGTCGAGCCGACGGCAGGTATACAACCACCCAGAGTCGCCAACATGAATTCTATATTCGTAGGTTGGAGTTACTTGAGAATTATCCGTCCAGAAGAATGGAGAGTGTTTGGTTGAAAGCGCAAAATCATCACGTGAATGCGCTTTTTACTAAGAGGTCCCAAGTGGGAGCAACTAGTGGGGGTTAGGCGGGGATCGTAGCCTTGCAGTGTACAGGGTAATCGTGAGAGGTAGGGGGGGTAAATATCCAGCCCACGAACCACGAAGTCTGGGTGGTGCGTCTAAAGTAAATGTGACGTGACTGCGCTGCGTAGAGTCTTGACCTCCACTCTTACATGAAACTGATGCTGCGACATGAATGGAGGCTCTGGCCATTCACGTCTTTCCTTGCAATCCTCGACCTCAAGACTGGCGTAACAATCGCCCTCCTCTTTGCAGTCCGCCTCTTCCCCCCGATTTCCCGCTAAAATCTCGCTGAATCATACGTTTTCAGCTGCTGAACAAGGTCGCCGGCGTGTACGGCCTCATCGCAGCGCTGACGGGCGCGGGAGGGTCCTTCGCGCAGCTCAGCCTGTACATTTACTCTGTCGGTGGGATCGTGGCCTTTTTCTGGGGCCTCAAAGTCGTTGAGGCGGTCCGTCTGGCTCCCAACTATGTGCTGTAATGATTTCTGAATTTAATGGCCACAGGAAGACGTCCGGAAGACGCTCTACTTTGCGCACCTGTTCAGCGCGGACTACATCCTCTCCACCGCCTGGACGGTCTTCTTCGGCGTGGAGTGGTTTTTCCACAACCCGCACGACGGCGCGCGCCAGGCCAATTCGCCCGCGCAGGAGGACATCGTCCGTGTCGCGCATATCACCGGCACCCCGATGACCGACCAGGAGCGCGCAGCCGTCGCCCAGCAGATCTGGAACGCAGAAAAGAGTATGGCCTTCCTCGTCATCGTCGTCTCGTGGCTCTCCAAAGTTCGTTTCCTTCCCTCCCTCCAACTGCCAACCAACTAATAATAATACGCTCCCCAGATCTACTTCGCCCTCCTCATCTACTCCTACGCGACCCACCTGCGCAAAGGCTCCTACCGCGCCCTCGCGCGCACGACCCACGCTGCGCCCACCATGGCGACGGCGCTGGACCTCCCCGACGAAGAGGACGAGGAGATCGAGGACTTCTACCGCGTGCCGCTCCACCAGCCGCCCACGCCCAACAAGCACGTCGGTAATCACCTCAACAACATCACCCCCGTGCCCTCCTCGAGCTTCGCGGACAAGCAAAAGCGCGCGTCCTCCTCCACAGCCTCGCGAAACCCCGCGAAAGCACCGCCGGCCGACGACGCAGACGAAGAGCCGCTCTTCGACGACGACTACCCTTACATCAGCAGCAGCTCCGGCTCCACCTCGAAGGCGCACTCTAAGCACGGCACGGAGAGCAGCCCCAGCCGCAGCGCCAGCTCCGACAACGAGGCGGACGCGCCTACTCCACGCCGAAATACCCGATCCTCCACAAAAGGTGTAATATAAAACTCCCGGGGGCTCTCTGTACACTCGTCTTTTTACTTAAATAATATAATGCTGCCTAATACCTACTACAGTGTGCGCGCACGAATGAATCGGATGAGACAAGAGAAAAAAAGACCTCGCATTCAAAGAAAGTACGCGCAACGTATGTATAAGAGGGAATGGGTGGCGTGAAGAGAAATTTAAACTAGCTAGCGATTATGCATTTTATCGATTGATTGCTCTAAGGCGGCACCGTCGCGCTTTTTCTCTCACAGCCGCATAATGAGCTGCTTGATCCCCGACATCCAGAGCCCGATGTCGTCCGTCTGCGAGCCGCGCGTCAGCAGGTCGACGTGGATCGCCAGCGCAGCTGGACGGTCGTGCGATTCCATCGCTGCAAGAAAGAAAAGGTCAACATATTATTAACCGCAAGGATACAAAAAAACTCACCCCGGGTAAGAACGAGCAGCTGCTCAACAACGGGCGGCGACAAGGATTCGCAGTTGAGCGCATCGAACAGCGGGCTGATCCGGCGCTCGAGATCGTCCACGAGCCGCTTTTGTTGGGGCTGGCGACCAAGTCAATAAATGCGTTTGAAAGAAGACGTCAAAAGCACTCACAGGCGTCGTCTGCCGCATCTGCGCGAGCTGCTGCGAAATCACCGCAAATGCAGGCTGCAGCGCCTCGGGGATGTGACTTCTGTCGCCGGGGGCTAAGGTGCGTCACGTCAGAAGTGAATACACAATACAGATAAGAAACAACAACGCACGATACTTCGGCGGGGGCGGTCCCTTGGGCTGGCGCGACGCGGCGGACGCAGCCAGCGACACGGGGGCGCCGGGCGGCGGCGGTGGCCCACCGGGCCCGGGCCTCTGCTGCTGGCCGGGCGGCGGGCCATACTGCCCCGCATTCTGCTGCGGCGGCGCCATCTGCAGCGGCGGCGTCGCGCGCCGATACTGCTGTTGCTGCCCCGGCGGGGGCGTCGGGTGCCCGTA